CCCTGCACATGTTCAAATCTGACACTTGCCCCGCATGCCTGTTTACAGTAGATGCCCTGAAAGTTGGATCAGAAGTGGCTGCTGCACAAGTCAACTCTTCTGCCTGTTTTAGACTCAGAGAGCCCCAATGAGCAAGGGTTAACTTAAATCACGGGGGTACCTACCCACATTCGTGGGTTGATCACAGGGTAAAGTTCTAATTCTGTGGTCGCTGTGCAGTGGCCCTGTCCCTCGGCGCTGACTGGTAGAGAGGTCCAGGGGAGAGGAGGGGTGATGGGGCAGTCACCATCTTGATTGCTGGCTGCCCTTTGTGTGGCCCTGCCCCTCAATGCTGATTGGCAGAGGCACTGTGGGGTCAGGGGATGGGTGGTAGAAAGGCATAATGGGACAGTAGCCATCTTTGCTGCTGCCCTTCATGCTACTCCACCAGCTGGGGCCTTCTCCTTCCAGCAGTGCGGACTACTGGCTCCTGCTGGGAAACCAGCATTTAACAAGTTTTTTTGTTGCTGTTGATTTTGTGGTTTCTGTAAAATCTGCAAAAGTGTGAATTAAGTAGGAATGAGGCAGGGCAGCACATGCATCTCACAGCTGTTTCTGGTCGTGCGATGCACAAGACGTGCCCTGATTGTGACACCCACTTGAGAACTACTGAGGTAAACCGAGCAGCTCCCATCTGGGGATACTGCCAAATTAAAAAAAAAAAAAGTGTTGGGGAAGGGTGCTCTGACTAACAGAGTGACAACCACTGTTCTCTAAATTGTTTTCTTCAGTGTGTTTGAAACAATCCACTTAGTGAATCCTCTCACACTTTAGCTGGAATTGGTAGAGTACCAATAAACATATTTAATGATGTAAAACACTGAAAGGTATCATGATGAACAGAAGGTATCCCACTGACTAGAATTACATTTTGTAAAGCAATAGAAGACACTACAGTATTTGAACTGTTACAATGATAAAAGGTTAAATGATTTAGAAACAAAACCAGGGTAATTAAGTAACATTTATTTTACATAGAACAATCTCCAAAGAATATATTTAAAAACTAAGTACTGATTTATTGCATTTTATTTTTCTTACAAAAGACAGACAGGCACAATTGAATTAAGCAAATGCCTCAAACTGAACAACAACTGATCACTATTCAGATTGCCCCTTCGCCACGTTTAAAAGGCTATGAATAGAAACTTTAATTTACCATGAGGCAGTAGTGCATTTTTATTTAGTAGGAATTAATCAAAATATACTTTTGTACAGTAAACTGTTATTGTAACTTTATAATTACCTATAAAAACTTCTTAATTGCACAAGTTTGCTTTACAATTGACAATTGCCAGAAAATAGGCTTAGCATTGTAAGTAAATATTTTCCCAAACTATCCCATAAAAACAAATAATTACGATTTCTTTCAGTGAATACTTCACAAGTCTAATAAGAACTATATTATGTATCTGAGGTCATTTTAAAAATATAGGTTTTAATAGGAAGAGGTTTATATATTTATTCCATTCAGCTAAATTTATCTTTTGCCTACCGCAAAAATCCATTCACCCCCATTAACTGAGTGTCTCTAAGCAGATATACTTTGATTTGAAAGTACCAAGACCAGTAAAATCTGAAGAAGTGTTTACATTAATCTGATTTCTACTTTACTACTTCATTACCAAATGATGAAAAAGGCACATCAGCATGTTCCTTTGAACAGTTTAGTCTTTTCGATGTCAAAAAGAGTGTCCAATGATAGTAACTTCAAACATGTTTAAAAGCAAAAATACTGAAAAGACTTCCCATTGATTAGATGCACAGTCCATGAAATCTGAAGTCCTCATTTTCCATAGAATTTCTTATTCAACAGGAATATAAGCAAGTTTACATTCACTTTAGCTTTATCAAACATTTTCATTACAGCCACACCTTCATACTGCATCTGAAGCAAATCCTGCAATTAGAAATAAGATTTATTCTTTATTTGAGTTCATATTTTACAATATCCACAGATATTAAGATAACATTGTAGGCGCATTATTATAATTTCAGTCCTTCAAAGTCTGGGCCTTACACATTTTAGCTAATTCTTTGTCAGTTTTAAACACATACTTGTGTTCTCCACACACCACCTAAAATTCACTCTCATAATTGTTACCCCACATATCTCTTATGCTAATACAATAGTTTATGAAAAAATAAATCAGAAAGTTAATACTTTTTAAAGATTTAAATGACAGTCTATTTAGAGTCCAGCAAGGCAAATAAATTCAAACTCTACCTGGAAATGCAGTTGCACTTTCTCCATCTCAACCCCCAAGAATTTTGCTTTGATTTCAAAATCACCTACTTCTTCACCAGGTGTGATATCAAACATAACATTCTTAAACCTTAAAAAACAAAAATACCTGGATTTACAATATGCCACAACATAACATGCTCAAAAATACTTAATTGAGGTACTTGGGCACAAACAGTCAGAAACTTGTAGCCTACACACTTACCTGAGCAAATCCTTAATTCCAAGCTAGTTTACAGAGACTGTCCTGGCAAGGTAAACCTGAAAGTTCACCTTCCTGTTTGGGTACAGCTGCTCTGTGATATAACAACTCAAAACTCACTACAAAACTCTTCAAATGCAAACAAGACACCCTTCATGACTGGGTGCATTTTCTACATTGCATCATAACACCAAGGAGGTTCCCACTGAATGTTTATGTAGCGGTGACATCAGTGGTCAAGTCATTAGTGCGTCTCTACATGACAACATGGCCCAATAGGATTTGCAAGATTAATTTCTATTGGATTCAGTACCATGAGTATACTGCAGCAATACTGTGAGTAGATGAAGCAGTCCCAAATTGGGCTTTCTTCTCTGAGCTGTTCAGACTCAAGATCTGGAATAGTGTAACCACTTCTGATTTCTCCTGACAGAGAGAGCTGAACAGCCAGACAAAGACTTTCTTGCAGAAGAAAACTGGCTCTCCCACAATAAAGTAGATGATTATTTCCAACCTGGAAGACATCTGAGGCAACAACCCTCCAAGAGCACTCCTGATTGGTAGTGGTAGGAAAAGCATTCTCCTGAGGATGAAAACCCTTGGAACTCCAAGAGGGCTCCAACCCCAGGTGCACATGCCTCCCACCTTGTGCAGGGTATCAGGGGCCATTTCCTCACAGTGGAACCCTCCCAGAGCTGTTTTCAGCACCTGCTAACTGCCCACTGACAGCCTTCCCCCCTCCCATGCTGGGGAGAGGACAATGTCAACCAGTGAGCTCCCCTAGGGGAGTAGCCTTCTAGGGCACATCCTCATGCATGTGCACGTATAGGGGTGTGTGTTTCCCATAGCACAAATAGCAGTGGCACATATTTATGCTGCCGCTATTCATCCCTAGGCATCCCCTGCACGTGTGCTCTGCTGCATGGCAAGGAGACCTGAGTGGGGTAGAGGAGGCTAAGGCTAGCACCTATGCTGGCCCCAGTGCCTTACCTGGGTTGTGGGGGGCCTCCTGGGGCAGCAGCACTGATCCTGCTGCACAGAGCCTGGCTGATAGCTAGAGCATGGTTCTGGCCAGCCAGGCTTCAGTTTCTGGTGGCACATGCTGTTGCCATCTGCACTGTGCCATTTGTTTTAGCGGCAGTTTTTTTTTGACACTGGGATCTCCCAGTATAAAAGATGCCGCAATGTAAATTACTAGCGTGGTGCATGGGTGTATGTGCACTGCATGCAGCTTGTGGTGCCTCAGATGGCTCTGAGGCATCACAAACCACAAATGCATGCTTGTGGGGACACACCTCTAGCGTCTGAAACATAGGGGCTGAAACACATGTATACTCCAACTCCCAGGCTATGTTTCTACTGCTAAGGGTTTCAGAGATAATTCTTAGTGCTAGAAATGAGCACCTGACAATGGAGTTGGTCTGACAACTATGAAACAGAGCCAAAAGCAGATTTTATTTTTTCTCTCTTTTAGGATGATTTGATCTGTTAAAGTCTCAAAGAAAATGCAGGAATGATACGAGTCTAAAACTCCAGAATATCTGTCCTGCACTAATTCCAGTAGGTGTCTGTCATAAATCAAGAAATTAACCTGTTTGAGCAATAGATATTCCCCCCTCTCATATGCCTATTTTGGATAAGGCAGACTCAAAGGCAGCAAGAGGTCTGAGTCTCCAGAGTATGAAATAGAGTCCCCCCGCAGAAGTGGTACAAGCACCTACTCTGGATATATTTAAGAAATGCTTAGATGCTTAGCTTGCTGGGGTGATCTGACCCTAGCTGACTTGGGGCTGGACCCAGTGATCTTAGGAGGTCCTTTCCAGCCCTAATGTCTATGAAATCTACGAAGAGGTGGTTTTTGGCTTTCCTCCTCCAATAAGTTTCTGGGCTACTAGTTTGGCAAAGGATAATAACGAAGAAGTTTCTCCCACTGTTGAAGGCCTGAAGTATTCATGGGTTTTGCTGAAGTAGGCAGCAAACATTTTGGCTAGACCCCCAGCAGTTTTCTAAGAACAGGACTCATTAGAAAGGATGCACTTAAGATTTGCTTCAAATAATTACCTATTGTTCAGGGCTCAATCCAGTGTTGGTATTTCAACAGTTTTATCATCTCTTACCATCAAATAACATCCATGGAAATTCATGAATATCTCTAGCTAGTGGTTAGATGCATGTTTGACTAATATAAATAACTTGGAAATAAAATCCCATCCAGGACACTGTGGCCCTGACCAAAAAGAAGGTTGCTAAGGAGTGTTTGAAGACTTGAGGCTTTCAGGCCCCTTCTTTCCTTCTGAGCTTTTGGAGAGAAATCCTCCTACTATGTTCTTTATTATAAAATGTTATTAAGGAGGCTAGAAAACACCCCAGGGCCTTCTGCAATTTCAGAGCTTTTAATGAACTTTCCATTCCTCGTTAAGATTTTCTCAACAAGTATAGTTGATCCTGCCCTGGGACAGAGGATGGACACTAGAGGATTTCAAAGTCCCTCCCATGCCTATTTCCTATGATTCTCTTTCCTATGAACTGCAATCGAAGAATGTAGGGAGAAGAAAAATTCCACCTTAGTTTAGATGACATATGCTAGTCCTTGTTTTAAATTTAGTAATCCTCTTTCTCTGGATGATCCTTGACAGTAGCAGCTGCCTTCTTTCCCAGGAGTTCAAGGGGGCAAAACAACCCTCTTGTTTCTCCAACTTGTGGTTAACATCACAAGTTCCCCAAAATGGAGAAGTAGGTGGTGGTGGTGGAGCTCATGAAAGACAAGGATGTAGGGCATTTTTATCTGCTGCATTTTCCAGTCTCCAACTTTCTAAAGAGATTTTAAATTGTAGGAATGAAGTTTCATTGTTATTGTGTGCCAAAAAAGGAAGGAGAGTTCAATTACTGTCCTGTTCACTATGCAATAGGCAACTGAAAAAAAGTAATAAAAGGAATCATTCAACTAGAATGGGGAAGTCAAACTCAAGATGTTGGAGGGCTGCATTCCCTGCTTTTCAGGTACCCACAGGCCTCACTCCACCTCTTATGCTGGCAGACCTAGTAGCACCATAGAGAGAAGCCCTACTGTTGCAACCAGATCTCTGGCAGAGATCTGGCTGCAGCATTAGGATTTCCTGGGGTGGCAGCCAGTGACACTCCAGGCTGGACACCACCAATCAGATTCCTGGCTCTGGCCACAGGTTGGATGTTTGACACCCCTAATCTAAAAGCACAAGTCTCTCTCTTGTAAAGAAAAAGAGTTAGAAAGTATGTTCAACTCCTTATCACCACCAAACCTTCAATTTTGAGGTAGACTGGATTAGTAGATTGCCAGGGATAAGCAGAGAGCTATTACATCAAGCAGTTTTCTGAACTACAGCAGAGACTGTATCTGATCAAATACAAGACCTACTGAACTCCATATTGCACTGACATGAACTGCCTCACCCTTGCACTCACAGAACTTCCAGGATATTTTCACTGCCTACACAGCACTTTTGGAATTGCTGCAGAAACTAAGCCCACAGGATCCAAACCAAGACCTGAGGACTGCTGCTTTCATGATCTGTCTCTGGCAACCTTGAGAGCAGTGGGGCTAGGGGCAGGGGAGAGGCATCTTCCCTGAACAATTCTTACTACTTTTGTTCCAGGCTTGGACCATTTAGACAGGTCTTAGTTTTTGGTGGCACTCAAGAGTGCTGTGTAGGCAGTAAAGATATGCTGAAACTTCTGAGGGGAAGGGTGGGGCAGGTCATAAAATCAGTGCTACAAGCAATTTAATGGGTCTCTTATTTGATTAGATATACTCCATTTTTTCTGATCACTCACTCTCAAGAGGTCTTCAAAGACAGCATACACGTGCCCTTGTTGAATCTTGACTGGTGCATGGATGCGGGCGAGTGAAAACAAAGAGGCCTCAAAACGCACCAGATTTGAGTCATATTCCTTGGAAAAGCCCATTCATGACGAGCAGGAAAACAACCCTGTCACACTAACTCTTGATTAAAAGTTCTCCTCAGATGCAATTACTTTTGAGATCGTTATTTGTTTGGTTGGCTCTGTACAATCTCAGAAGGGGATCTTGTTTGTGAAACAGCACCGTGAACAGTGCTGTTGTCTAAGAGAGAGGGTGGGGAGAAATGGAAGGAAATTTGTTTGCCACTAACCCAAACTGACGTATAAAACCTAGGATATTATGAATAATGGAAGAGGAGTTGATAGTACAACTGTCTGCATTGCTGGAGACAAATCTATGTAGAGAGTGGATGGGGTTAGCCAGGCCAAGTTTTTAATACGTCCAGGAGTAGATCAATCCTAAAGTGTCTTAGTGTGAGATAGAGGTCCTGATCCAGACATTTCAAAACTGAATTTCTTACTTGAGGCAAAATCTAAAATTTTCCTTTCCTGGCAACTACAGCAGCTACCTGAGAACTTTACTTGAAAGTGAATGCAAGTGATTGTTTGGTAGACGAAAACCTAACAGCTGCTCAGCAAATCAGTTGATTTGTGCTTGTCAAGTTATATAAAGAAGGAAATTCTATAATTTAGATACAATGTTGGAACACGCCTGTTGATCATGGACTCTTAACCAAATAATTAAACTATCAAGCCAACTACCAGTGAGAGAAATTTAGGATAAGCTGTTTTAATCTCCTTAAACCTAGAGGTGCACCGATATATCGGTCACATATCAGTGCCGATAAAAGGAAAATTAACATTATCAGCAATCAGGTTTTTTCAGCTGGTGTAGCTGATAACATCACCGATGAATGCCAAGTGCATGTGTACAGTCCCAGCATACACACAGCCAGGAATGCAGCCCAGCAGCTTGAAGAGCAGCAACTAACCAGTAAGTCTGTGAGGAGGAAGCGGCATGGGGAAGGAAGGGGGGGGGGGGTAGGTAAAATCGAGGGCCCCACAGTGAGGGAGGGAGTGGGGCAGGGGCAGGTGCTGCCCAGCCAGGGCGCTGAAAGTAACCACCAGGAGTGAGACAGTTGCGGCCAGCTCCCTACCACTATGTGCACCCCTGAGTGAGACATGGGGGGAGGCATGTGCCCCCCCAGATCTGTGCATAGGGCAAGGATGGGCTGCCTGCTACAGGCTTTGGGCCAGGGGCTGTGCTGGCCTATTCCCAATTGGGGGGGAGGGGGGGCCTATTCCCAATGGGGGCTGGGCCAGTGCTGCACTTAGGGCAGGCAGTGGTGGCACTGGGAAGTGTGGCTATGGGATGGGCTATAGTCACTACAAAATCCCCTGTAGCTCCCCCTCCCCCCACCTCTCTCCCCACCCCCGGGGAAGAGGCTGGAGCAGCCCCCGGCCCCAAGCCTGCAGCAGGTAGCCCACCCTCACTCTGCACACAAATCTGCCCTGGGGGTGCATGCAATGGTGGGGAGCTGCTACCCCTCCCCATCCCCTGTGGCTCTGTCCTGCTCCAGAGCTTGCATTCCCTACCCTGGCTGGACAGTGCCTGCCCCTGTCCATGCCCCATTCCCGTCAACCACCCCCCCCCCCCCCCCAAACAGACTTACTGGCAGCAGGCTGCTCTCCAAGCTGCCGGGCTGCATTCCTATAAAAATCAGCTATCGCATTGGCATCAGCCGATACAGCTAGTTAATTCATAGATTGCTAGGGTCTGGAAGGGACCTTGCAGATCATCAGGTCCAGGCCCCAACAATCTAGGCAGGAAGACAACTGGGGTTAGGTGACCCCAGTGAGGTGACTGTCCAGTTTCCTCTTGAAAACCTCCAGGGTAGGTGACTGCACCACCTCTGAAAGGAGTTTATTCCAATCCAGACACCCTAACTGTGAAGGAGTTTTTCCTGGTATTAAGCCGGAAGCAACCTTCCAGAAGTTTGTATCCATTGGTCCTGGTCTTCCCTGGGGGTGCCTTAGTGAACAGTTGTTCACCAAGCTCCTCTGATATAGCAGTAAGTCACTATCAACTCCCCTCTCAACCTTCTCTTCAGGCTAGCGGCCCAGGTCCCTCAGCCTTTCCTTGTATGGCTTGCTTTGCAAGTCCCTGATCATACAGGTGGCTCTTCTCTGGACCGTCTCAAGCTTTTCCATGTCCTTATTAAAGTGCAGCACCCAGAACTGGACACAGTACTCCAACTGGAGTCTCACTAGTGCCGAGTATAGTGGGATTATCACTTCCTTAGTTTTACACGAGATACATCAGTTGATGCATGCCAGTGTGTTGTTTGCCCTTGCTGCTTGGCCAGCTCTCCCAACTGCCACTACACAGGTGCCCAGCTCCCCTCCACTGTGTGTGCAGCGCAAGTAGCTCAGCTAACCCCCCCACCCATGCAACACAGGCACCCTGGCCCCTTCTAGCTGCACCAACCCAACCCAGGGACAGGAGGTGGAAGCCAGGAATGGAGGGGGAAGTCAGGAAACCCACACTGCCGCTGCTTCAAAAGTAATGAGGGGAGTAGCAGCTGGCCAGGAGCCCATGGCCCAATGTTAGCTCCTTGCGGCTGCCAGTAGGACAGCCCTGGTCTATTTGATAATGCAGATTTAAATGCCATACTCACTGGTTAGTCTGAAGATCTTCAATTTCTAGGATGACCCCCTTTTCATGTAGTCTTGCTGCGGTGTATTTTAGTGATGTGTGCTTAAGTTTTCTGCTCCCTTTATCCTCCTCTTTTCCATCTATTTTAATTGACCTGCGTGAATTTCTATTAAAAAAAATTCTGGATCAATTCAAAATACCTACTTTTTCACTTTTTTTCCCCTTCTATGATTTACAAAGGACCTGCCAAAGACAGACCTTTTACTTGACTGAAAAGCAAGCTCTTGTTGATAACTAAACTAACTTTTAAATAGACAATAAAATTAGCATTATAAACAAGTGTTACATAATGATCAGAAGATGACAAATTTAAAATTTGTCTGAATGTTCTACAGACTTTTATAATGACTTTCAGCTACCAAACACTTGTTTTAGTAGCTAGGTTTATATCAATAATAAGATGCAAAGTGGTAAGTGACAAGAAATTTTCTTAACCCACGTTTAAAAATAAGCTTCTTTGTCTTCATTAAATTGAACTTATATATAACTTCTTATACTGCTATTTTAAATATAGCAATTTACAAGTATAATATAGTGACACAGTTATGTAGCAGATGTTTGATACTCAGTTAGGATAAGCTGCATAGCAGATTTGAGAGAGCGCCACAGTTACTGCCAAGATCTTCCACTCTAAATACAAAGTTGCCTCAATTATGATTAGTAGAGGCCTTTAAAGGAAAAGGTAAAATTACAAATATTCCCTCATTCTACCCCTGACATTACATGGCCAAACAGCCTCACTGAGAAGCCCCTATTAAAACTTTTAAGTTTAAACCAAGAAAGGGGTGGAGGGGGGGAGAACGGGGGAGAGGGAGGGGAAGAAAATAAAAATGTACATTGATCACAGGCTTTTCAAAAAGTTATTCAAATAAAATTTATCACTTCAGCTCCTTCCAGTGGCTGTCACTCACAACAGGGACAGTTCCGATTCACTTTTCCTATAAGATTTTACCTTGGTAGCATTCAAGTTTACAACAAAGGATAAAACCCTTCTCATGTTAATGGATCCCATAAAACATACGTTTTATAAATAAAGTTCTTTAACTCACTTTCGTGTTAAGTTGTCTAAACAGGTTTTTATATAGGTGTTGTAATAATTTATTTGTTCTTCATAAAATGCTGTCTTGGAGTTTAGTGCATTCAGAGTCTGTTGGAGTTTCATCAATTCAGCTTTTCTGTGATGTCGGTATCTTCTTTGATTTCGGATATCCTAAAAGGAGGAAGGTTTGGATTTTAATTACTTTACTGAATAGTTAGGTCACTTGGGATGTTACATTCTCACAGAATGCCATCACCAAAATGTGTACAGTACTTTCACAACGGAACAGCAGCACTGCACACGTCCTTTATTTATTGGGAAAAATATGAAACACTGCACTTGTTCACGTTAACCATTCATCTTCATTTCCAGAAGTGGCTCCTTAGATAGGAATTGTAGACCAGAATCCTATTACTGTGCAGAGAATGGTATTAAAAAAGTCAATCATGAGATGTAAAAGCCATTTGTAAGCAAGTCACTCAACTGCTTAAAAAGAAATCCCTCTTTAATATTTAAAATTAGATTGAAAAGGAATATCCATGTTTCAGTACATGCTTACTCAAGGACCACTAACTTCTCCCAGAGAAGTCCATTAGAACCAGTTAAAAGGACCCCATAGGCTCTTTTTATGGCACATGGTTATTTCTTGTGGTACACTCATGCTACTGCTGAGGACTTTGTGATCATATCTGTAATCTTTACTGCAGCACACAGAGTTTACAATGAGGTGGTGAAGACCAAGTAGGTAAGGCAGATTTTAACAGACTCGGATATGGACAGACAAACAAGTAGAGTTACTATTTAGGAGAAGTTGCATAGTAACGCTGTATGCTTGGTCTGCCTCCCACTCTACCCCATCCACCTGTAAGTGAAAGCTAAACTGGGGTAACTTAGCCATCAGTATAACAGGGCAAAGGTTCCATGGGTTGGTTTTCACTGATGTTTACCAATACTGCTGAGCAGTAAATACATAAATTAAATAAAGACAAGGATTTAACTTGCTATGTGCTCATCTGTCCACACTCCGATATCAGAGCTGGAGTAGCATGAAGTCACTCCAGTAGTGCAATACCATAGAAAACTGAGCCAGAGCAATATAAAGGGCTTATTTATCCAAAACTGTTACTTACCCACTAGTTGCTATGGATCTCACTGTATGCGTCTTATGTATGCAAGAGCAGTCTCTTAAATAGTATTGTGCATCAGGAACACTCATGCACCCTGTACCTCCTCATGTTCCTATAAAATGCCCTGAAGGACATAACTGGCCATTATTTCTCCCAAAATCTAGTCTGTGTTTATTGATGATTCAAAGCAGGAACCCATGACAGGT